TAGCCCAGCCCAGCCAACATGGGCTTTAGTAATTGACGGGCTGGGTTGGGCTAGCCTGGGCTAGCCCACCATTTTGATGGGTTTTATAATAGTCAACCCACCCTAGCCCTATGTGGGCTGCGGGCCCCCACAGGCCTGCCCATTATTTTTAAAAATATAATTATATATATATATATATATATATATATATATATTTTAAGTTCTAACCTAAAAAAGATAAATATTTAAATGTTAAAAAAATCTTATTGAAATTTACAGAACTTAATAACTTTTATACTGTTCCAATATATCACAATAAATATTAAAAAAGTAAAACACAAGACTATATTTCATTCACTAAAAGTCAAAACTCAATAAAGAATTCANGCAATTGACGGGCTGAGCTAGGCTAGCCCACCATTTTGATGGGCCTTATAATAGTCAGCCCACCCCAGCCTTATGTGGACCGCGGGCCCCCACGGGCCGGTCCATCAGTTTTTAAAATATAATTTTATATGTTTTCTTTAAGTTCTAACCTAAAAACGGATAAATATTTAAAAGTTAAAAAATATCTTATTGATATTTTGCAAAACTTAATAACTTTTTATACTGTTCCAATATATCACAATAAATATTAAAAAAGTAAAAGACAAGACTATATTTCATTCACTAAAAGTCAAAACTCAATAAAGAATTCAAGAGAACGTCCATAACGCTTATGGGATATCCAACAAACACATCATCTTCATCAAACACATTTGAATCCGCTTGTGAGAAGGTTGGCTTGACATCTTTACTTTCATCTACATTTACAATTTGTATGCGATATTAATTTGTTAAATATTAAGAATAATTAAAATTTTAAAATTAATTCATGTTTTAAGACTTTGATCTTTTAATATGATGAGCTTAATAAACTTAAGCTTGGATACTCTTCGTGATATTTTTTGGGTCGTATAATTTTTATATTTTATATATTTCAAATATATATTTTTATTAGGCCCACGGGCCGGCCCAGCCCAGCCTCACGGGCCACGTACTTACTCGTGCCGGGCTTAAAAGCCTCATTTTTAAATGGGATCCAAAAATTCTAGTCCAACCCTGCTAAATCAAGGGTTGGGCAGGGCTGGTCCAACGTGCCAAGCCCATATTGACGGCTTTAATTATGGAATTTGTAGTGACCCGACTCGACCCTTATTTTTTTACCTTTGAATCAATAATAATTAGATCTCAATTATTGAGTTTCATTTCAACTATTAAAAACAGGGTGTACATAGGTCGGGTTGGTTCGAATTTTGGAATTACCAAACCAAATCAATTGTGTCGGGTTATTAAATCTAAAGACCAAATCAAGCCAATAAAACTCGGGTTTTTCAATCTTGGGTTTTCTCGGGTTTTCGGGTTAGTCGGATTTTTTCAGGTTTTTTCCGGTAAAACCTTCGTAGCACAAAACATATAACTTGTGCTCAAAATATTTCTTTAATCCTAGTAAGATACAACTATATAAGGTATTTTCCAAGAAAATAATGAGATGTTTCATGACATTATCCTAAAATATTCAACGATAAAGATAACAAAATTATGTAATATAAACATTGCTAATTAAAAAGTCATAATAAAAATAAACATAATCTAAAAATACTAAGTCATGCTAAAATAAGTAGACTAATAAATGAGTATTAATTATATGGCTAAACGCTAAAGAAAAAATAAGGCTATGCATTTTTATCTAAATTATTGCAAAACAAAAAATAGATATTCAATACATTGCCGTTCGTAGTATTGTATTGAATTTTTTTTGTTAGCATTAGTATTGATTGATTTTGGTTTGGGCTATTGTTAGCATTATTTAAGTTACTAATATTAATGGCAATAAAACTTATTGGAACATTCAAAAGTTCTAAGTCCAACCTTGAAATAATACCTTAAAAGGATAAAATTATGAAAAAGTTAAAGAAACATTTATAAATTACATCATAATAAGTATATGTTTATATTAAATATATCTAAAATTTCTATATATGTGATGTCGGGTTGGTTTGGTTATTATGGTCGGGTATTTTTTTTCCAACACCAAACCAAATCAAACCAAACCATATTCGGATTTTACTTCTCGGTTTGACTCGGATTATCGGGTTGGTGCGGCTTGTCGGTTTCCTTTGTACACCCCTAATTAAAAACATGAAGTTTGTTTTTCTTCAACTTATGCTTTTGTCGCTTATTATGGACAATTAACATGTGTTTTGCACTAATAATAATGTCTATCCACTTACTTCTACCGTAGCTTCAAACATTTATAAGCATTAAAACAAACTAAATTAAACGCTTTTCGAGCAAGGTAATAAACGCACTCACTTTTGACACAAAGAAACAAGTAAAAATTAGGATTAGAAAAAATATTAACATTAACACTCTGCCCAAATAAGTTCTAGTAGTAGTTCATAGTCCAAGGTCCTTCAAAAGGATTATATAAAAGTAGATTTTTTGTAGAACTAGCCGTCCTACAAAAATGATAACCATATATATATATATATATATATATATATATATATATATATATATATTAGAAAAAATCTTAACTTTAACACTCTTCTAAAGGATTTTATAAAAGTTGTTTTTTTATAGAATTATATTAATAGCCATTCTACAAAAAATTATAACTGTCACGATCGAATTTTCCACCTTTGGGACTGTGATGGCGCCTAACATTGCACTCGCTAGGCAAGTCAACATTACAGAATATTTCACATTTTTCCTTTATCCTTTTATAATTAAGATTTAACAAAAACTAAATCAGCGGAAATAAAAGCGAGAGTACATGATTTAACTGGTTACCATTATACTAATAACGAAAGCCGAAAGAGGTACCACCCAGAAACTGGTGTCACAACTCACGAACAGTTTACGAATACTACAAGTAATGGTTTGAAAGAAAATACATTTGTCTCGGAGAAAGTAAATCAGAAATGAAGTAAAGATAGGAGGGGACGTCAGGGCCTGCGGACGCCTGCAGGACTACCTTGGGTCTCCTGGGATAATAGCAACCAACCTCTCGATCAGCCACTAGCTCCGAAATCTGCACAGAAAGTACAGAGTGCAGTATCAGCCCCCATGTACTGGTAAGTGCCGCGCCTAACCTCGACGAAGTAGTGACGAGGCTACGGCGGGGCATAACAACATATAACCTGCAACAGTTTATATTAAGGCAAAAAGAAAATACATAATGAAATATAGCAGTAACTTGAATTAAATAAATATGGGACCCAGTCGTGCTACCGATACTCAGCTATAACCAATCCTTAAGGGAGTTTCAACACCACAATAATGAACCTCAGCAGAATATGAATACATAAACAACCAATGATACGACGCGCATCCCGATCCCACCATATAATCAATAACAGTATAAATATTCACCCTTATTACTCCTTGTTACGGCGCGCAACCCGATCCCATCAGTCCACCCTTATTACTCCTCAATATATCACCCTTATTCCTCTTGTTGCGGCGTGCAACCCGATCCCACCTATCCACCCTTATTACTCCTTGTTGTGGTGTGCAACCCGGTCCCACCAGACAATCACATTTCACCCTTATTCCTCATGTTGCGGCGTGCAACCCGATCCCAATATATATATATATATATATATATATATATATATATATATATGAGCATCAATCACAAAGTAAAGACAAGTGTTTCACAAGTTAACTCAAATCCTCCACAACACTTATACCTCAAACCAACACAATGGAATGTCACTACAAGTATGAAACTTCACCAGTTAAAACTACACAGCGAGACCAACCAAAGTGTACCATGAAGCACCAATAAACCAACATAAACCAACAGTGTGATATAATGGAACAATTAACAACACCAATAGAGAAACAACATTTAACAGGAAACAATTAAACATGAAAGCTTCAATAAGCAAGTAGCAATTAA